GCTGGCCCCTGCCACTGGTGACCGGCTTCACTGTGGCCACTGTCTCCCTGGGCCCCTGCAAGGCACAGAGTGGGCTGCGGTCGGGGCCAGCAGCTCCTCCAGCCCAGCATGGGGGACACAGGGGCAGCCGCATCCTTACCACAGCCACTGGCACCCGGGCTGCCGAGAGCTGCTCCTTCAGGATCTGCATGGCTTCCTCATGGGGGTCCAGCTTCTTCCCAAAGAGCTTGCTGCAGAGACAGCACCTCACACTGCCTGCCCCCCCAGCATCACCTGTACCTGGCATCACCTGCATCCCAGCATCACCTGCATCCTGGCATTGCCTGCACTCCAGCATCAGAGCTGGCACGTACACCCACAGGCAGGAGAAACCCACGGCTTGGCCAGGGACTGGGGTGGGTACCTGGGGGGCTGGGAGCCACGTGGGGCTGGCTGGCACTGCCGGATGATGTTGCGGATGTCGTGCGTGGGCTGCGGGATGTGCTCTGAGTTGAGCCGGGAATGCTGCACCAGCTCACCCGGCCACCGCTGGCCCACAGGTGCTGCAGGGCCAAGCACATGGCTCAGGGGAGGCCAGGCATCACCCTCATGCCTGGGGCCTGGCTCAGTGCCATGAGCCCCCATTGCCACCCCATTGCACCGGGACCCCTTACCAGCTTTCTGCAAGTAGGGCCGGGGCTGGGGGGCACGGGCTGGCGTCCCCTCCGCTGCTCTGCCCTGCACGGGACACCGTGCCGTGAGGATCCGGCACCCCCAAAGTGCCTCCCATCCCTCACCCCACAGCAAGGGCCAGGCGGGGCTCAACCCCTCCCGGCCGCCCCGGCCCTATCCCACTGACTGGGGGCCCAGGCGGCTGGTTGGCATCTGCCCGGCGCTGTGGGGATGGGGCTGGCTCCACACCTGCAACAGCGAAGGAGGAGAGCTCAGTCGGGGTGTCCTGTAGCCCCATACCAGGGCAGTGGGGTGCTGGGTGCAGGGATGTCCCCCACAGCCGGGACCAGGGATCAGGTGGGGAAACTGAGGCAGGGAGCTGGGTCAGGATGCAGGAGCACTCGGGGCACTCACCCCTCGGCTGATGCGTCTCTGCAGGCACGGGTGGTCCGCTGCGCTCGGCATCGCCGCCGTCCCCCCCTCCCACACCACCTCCTCCCTTCATCCTCTGTGAGACAGCAGCTGGCTTCTCCAGCTCCTGGGGGGCAGGTGTCAGGGGACAGAGGCCAAGCCACCTGCACCCCCAGAATGCTGGACTCCCTCTGCCTCGGGCAGGGGAATGCTCCTCTCACCCCATTGCCGTAGGAGAGCACAGGGTCGAAGAGGCTGTCCAGGTACCGGTCCAGACCCTTCTGGCTGCGCGGCTCCCCAAAGTCCCCGTCTGCTGGGGGATGAGGAGGGATGAGCTGGTGGCAGCAGGGCTTCACTGGCACAGCAGGTTTCACTGGCATGGTGGGGTTCACTGGCACAGCACCACCAGCAGCTCTGGGGGGCCGGGGGGAAGATGCCCTACCGTGATGGGGGTACGCTTCCATGGATGGCAGCGTGGGGGCTTTCACAGCTGGGGGAGGAGGCACTTCATCCAAATCCAAGCTGTGTCCCAACACCCTGCAGAGAAGAAGGATGTGCTCATCCCACACTCACTGGGTGCAGGCCCCTCCTGGGACTCTGACCCACACCTCTGCCAGCACCCATCCAGCCCAGCGCCCGCATTTTCCCACCAGCCCCATGATGGGGGACACGTCCATGCCTGGGTACCTACACCTGGCTGTCCCCACTGTGGCTCTCGGTCCCCTCCCATGTGATGAGGAAGCAGGACTTCTGCTTGGGAAAGCCCCGGAGCAGCTCGAGGTCAGAGACGAGGTCCAGGACATAGTCATGGCCAGCCAGCTCAGCCCACTGGGCACCTGCCTTCATGGCCACGGACCAGCCGCGCCAGCCCTCCGCCAGCCCCCTGCCAACAGCGGGATGCTGGGGATGAGCACGGGCTGCCAGCAATGCCCTGGCTCTGTGGGAACACCCTGCCCATGAGATGGACATCCTGGCTCCCAGATCCTGGGGTCACCCAAAATGGCCCTGGGGTGATGCTGTGCCCCGTGCTCGCCCCGCTGGGTGGGTGGGTGCCAAGACGGTAGGTACCTGTGTTTCAGGACATCCCCTGCCAGGTCCTCGCCTGTGCTCCAGGAGTGGACAGGGCAGGAGAACTGGTCGCCTGGGGAGGGACGGGCGGTAAGCAGGTCCTGCTGGTCCCCTCCTGCCCATGACGGTGACAGGGTGGCCAAGCTGGGACCGACCCTCCCCGCTGTCATGGCCCCAACCCCGCGCCACCCCGCACCATTGAAGCAGTGGAGGTCGAGCGCCATGCTGGCTTGCTGCCGGTTCGCTGTCCACTCCAGCAGCGAGGGCGGGTAGGCACGGGCGGCTGCAGTGCCCAGCTGCGACTGTGCCATGGCGTGCATCAGCTTGCGCTGGCACACCGGCTTGTAGCCGGCAAAGGCGTAGTCAGAGACGAACCTGCAGGGAAGGGAGGATGCTGCAGGAGGGACCTCGGCAGCATCCCCAGGCACATGTGCCAGGCTGGCCCAGGGGACCACAGAGGGACTAAGAGTATCCCTGGAGGGATTTGGGCAGCATCCTGGGCACGTGTGCCAGGCTGGCCAGAGGGATCCTGGAGGGACCTGGTGGGACCTGGGCAGCATCCCAGGCACATGTGCCAGGCTGGCCTGGAGAGCCCTTGGAGAGACCCAGCAGTGTGCCCAGGCACGCATGTCAGGCTATCCCCAGGGGTCCCAGCTAGCCCCAGTCCCTGTCCCCAGCCCCTGTCCCCAGCCTCAGCCCCGACTCACTTGAGCAGGTACTTGTCGAAGGTGGTGGAGGGGGGGAAGGCACTGAGGCAGGTGGCCAGCAGCAGCCAGCCCCGCTCCTCGTTGTTGACATTGGTGTTACGCCAGACCTGGTTGGCGGCTTGTGCCAGGAGCTCGTCCCGCAGCCCTGGCGCCGACAGCCCCTTCTGTACGATGTAGTTGCCAAAGAGGGTCTCCTGCAAGCCGCCCAGCCCCGGATCCCCCATGAACCGCAGGATCTGCCGTGGGGACAGCAAGGTCCTCCCTCTGGCCCCGGGCAGGGGGCGGGCAGGGGACCAGGGTGCCAGATCCCACGGATCCCCACGCTGTCCCACCTACCAGCTGGAAGAGGCTGAGCGCCTCATGGCACAGCTCCTCGTCCAGCCGGGTGAGGGGGGCTGCCAGCGGGGCCGTCAACATCCCAAATGCTGGCTCCTGCGGTGACACCCGCGCCCGTGGCTACCTGGGCCCCAGGAACAGCCTCAGGCCACGAGGGGCTGACCCCATGGCTCTGAGTGTGGCGTTGATGCTGGATGGGGGCTATGGGGCTGCAAAGGGGCTAGGGTGCAGGATCAGGCTGGCAGCCTCCCAGCAGCAGGACAGGGACAGGCTTGGGCTCTGCTGGCAGCACCAGAGATGCCGGCACCTCAGTGAGGCTGAGAGCAGGATCCGGCCCTAGCGCTGTCGTTCAGGATGCCAGGGACTGGGAAACACATGGCAAAAATAGGGGGCAAGGAGGAGGAAGGGGGCAAAGCAACTGGGGATGGGGATGGGGTCTGGGAGCAAAGCGACCTGGTCTCCCGCCCCAGCGTTTCCAGATCCGCCCCATGTCGGGCGTCCAGGAGGGCTCAGCCGGTCTCTCTCCGATAACCTCAGTGGGGTCCCCCTGGCCTCTGGAGACGACAGGAACCCAGAGGGAGGGAGGGAGGCCACCGCCAGCTCCCTGCAGCACTGCAGCTGCCCCAGATCTGGCCCCTCTTGCACGCCGCAGCATCCCCGGGGCCGAAGCCAGGGCACAGCCCGGTGGGATGGTGCAGGGAGCTGCGGCACAGGGCTGCCACGGGGACCCTGAACCTAACCGCTCAGCCATGACTGGGGCACCGAGGACTCCCCGAAAGCTGGTTGCCCATCAGGGCAGGCTCCCCACCGCCAGGCCGTGGCACCCACCTTACCTGGAAGTGGCCCCGCACGTACTTGGCCATGGGGTAGTCATTGATGTCAAGCGGGAGGGTGAGCTGGGAATCGGGCTGCAGCGCCGGTGGTGGTACCAGGACCACACAGCCAGCATTCACCTCCCGGGCGGCTACGGCACAGTGGGCAGCTATGGCACAGCTGCAGGGATGGGGATGAAGGGCTGGGAGTGGTGCCGGCAGTGGTGTGGGACCTGCTCACCTGCGGCAGCCTCCAGCAGCCCCATCAGCTCGGCTGGGATCTCCAGGTGGGTGACGTCCACCACCTCCCTCCTCGTCAGCTCCTGCCGGCACAGCAGGGATGCACCCACTTGCCACGCTGCTCCCCACCCTGGCACCCATAGGTGGCCCAGCGGGCAGCATGGGCATGGGAGAGCAAACGGCAGGGATCAGGGCACAGCAACATGGTTTGCACATGCATCACACATGCGTGCTCCCCGCAGTGCCACACGCCTGCAACCCGTTACCTTCTTCATCCTCTCCTTCTCCTCCTCCGCCCGCCGGCGGGAATCCTCCTTGCGCTGCAAGCAGAGCAGCCGCATTGAGCCTCCATTGGGAGGGAGGGAGACCCAGAGGCAGCAGGACCACCCGGGGGTTGCATTGCCCCCCTGGCATCGCCAGGCTTTCACCCCAAGGAGGCACTGCCTATGCCCCATGGGGCATGGAGGAGGTGGTGGGGATGGGATCTGGGGGGGCTCAGGATCTGGGAGTGCCACTATGCCCTCTCCAGACCCACCACCGAGCATGCAGCAGGGTGGGAGCAGGTGCCCGGGAGCCCCTTCGGGATGTGCCAGCCCCCACCTCACCTTGAGGTACCGCCGGCGGTTCACGTAGATATGCACCAGCGACCTGAACTTGATGAGTGTGTGCCGCATGCGCCGGTACCGCTGCCTGTGGGACGGCACCCGTCACCCTCTGCCACCCACCAGTGCCCACCTGCTGCCCCCCCGGGACCCCCACCTGGCCAGGTAACCCCGTGCTCGGCTCTGCAGGAGGACGATCTTTCGGCGGAGGGAGCGGAAGCGCCTCTTGATGAAGAAGGTGCGAGCATAGCGCTGGAGTGTGAGTGCAGCCAGGTGATGGGCACGGGCTCGTTTGCTCTCCAGTGCCTGGTACAGCTGCTCCTTCAGGAAGAGCTGGGAGGGGGGGCGATGCCGTGAGCCCCCCACCTCGGCCGCCCTCCCACAGGTCATCACCGGAGCCAAGCTCCCTGCCCAGGACAGTACCTTGCTGACACCGACGTAGTACATGCTGGGGCTGACAGAGCAGAGGTTCCTCAGCATCTCCACGCAGTTGGCCCCATTGGGAATGACGTTGGACCACATGTCGACAAGGCAGCGGTACCTGGGCAAGCCCGTGACACTGTCACCGTCACTGCGCGGGACCCCACCGGGACACCGGCATGGACCCTCCCTGCGGTGCTGTGCACCAAAGCGGGGGGCTCCCAGCTCCCGCTGTGGGGAACCCCCAGGCCAAACACTGCCCCCCAAAACACCCATAAATTTTGTGGTCTCCCCTCATTGGGACGGTGGTACCCAACCCGCAGCCCCCAGGCACCTGTCGATGAAGACTAGGAAGGGTATGCGGATGGGGAAGCCCTCCTTGCGGATGCGGATGGTCTCCAGGATCCCCGAGTACCGCAGCTGGCTGCTGACCACATCAGCCTCGAAGAGCCCTGGCTCCTGGGGAGGAGATGGGGAGAAACCTCGGCAGCCGCGCGAGCAGACCTCTTCCCACCATGCGCCCACCGCGCTCCCTGTGCTGGTGAGGGCAGGCAGCACTGGCATCGCTACGGGCAGGAAAGCCCCGGGCAGGCTCTCACCTTCTTGTTGTTGGGTTTGAGACAGCGCACAAAGAAGGGGTTGCACCTGCATCAGAGAGACCCTGTTGGCCACAGGGGACAGGGGACAAAGCCAGCCCAGCCACTTTGGGCTCAGGTCTGGCTGTCACCCTGCTCCCGCCAGCCCAGAGCGTGACCTGGCTGCCCGCCCTGCCTGCTCTGCCTGCCCTGCCTGCCCTGACCTCTCCATCTTCTCCACCAGGTCCAGGAGCGACTGCTGGAACCGGGCGGCCACAGTGGGGGCCTTGTACCGCCGTGTCCTGGTGCTGCTCCTCCTGACCAGGCTCCTCTGCCGGGCCATCACCTGGGCATGGCCGAAGAAGAGGTTGGCCACCACCTTGGGGGGACGGGAAGGGTTAGGGAGGAGGAAGGTGACCGGGATGGTGCAGCTCTCCTAGCTCCTCTTCCCAGCCCGGCCACTGCCTTTTAGCCCAGCCCTGAGTGAGTCTCATCCCCTATTAGGGGCTGTGTTCCCCGGATGGGAATGGGGATAGGGATGGGATGGGGATAGGGATGGGGATGGGGATGGGGATGGGGAAGCACAAGAGAAGCCCACGTGCCCATTTGTGCTAATGCTGGAGGTGTCAAAGCCCAGAGGACCCTGTGGGAAGAGGGCACCGAGTAGAGCTAGAGGCATCCTCTGCCTCTGGTTCCCCTGGGCTTCACTGACCGTGGGGGCACATGCCTGGGGACATGAAAAGTGGTACGTATGGAAGGGGGCTATTTGTGCCCAGTGTTTCCCCAGCACTGCACAGCCGGGGCTGGGCAGGGCCCTACCTTGGTCCTGCTGCTGATGAACAGGTCCAGCACGTCCTGACGGACCTGGTCATAGTTTTTATCCAAAAACTTGTGAACCTGGCAAAGAGCAAAACCTCATGGTGAGGAGCCCAGTGGCATGATGGGGTAGGTGAGGAGCTCCAGACCAGGACATCGGGAGTGAGGGGCTGCTCCCGGTCCCCAGCCGGGCACCCTGGGCTGCCCCTCAACCCCTGGTGCAGGATCAACCGCATAAACCAGCTCTTTAACACTCCTTAAAACCCCAGGCTGAGCATCCTGCCACTGCGCACCTGGTAGGTCACCTTCCCTGCATAGTGCTTGATGGTGAACTCGGGCAGCGGCATCTTCGGCTTGGTGTACAGCGGGTTCGTCCCATGGTGGTAGTGACACTTCTGGAGGAATGTGTGGTCGGTGGCCTGGGGACAGACGCGGGGGTGAGACACAGCTTAGGTGGTTTGACAGCCCCGGGGATGCAGGCACGAGGACGGGGATGCCTGGACAACCAGCCAGACCCCGCTCTCAGCTCTGCCACCGAGCAGCCGTGTGGTCATGGGCATCTACTGCTCTGTGCCTCAGTTTGCCCATTGTCAGAGAGGGTGCAACCACCCTTGTCTCCTTTATAGGGCAGCTGGGAGGGGTTTTTCAGTTATTCCCACAAAAGCCAGTCCTCTGGGGGAAGTCACTCCAGTGGCACCGACCTGGGACTTCTCGGGGCTTCTCCAGCCTGGAGAAACCCAAGGCGTCTCCCAGATCATCCAGGACAGCCCAGGAGTGGAGCATCCCCGGGCCACGGTGACACCTTTGGCACGGTGACCGCCTGGCACTGCCATCCTTGCTGCCTTGGCACCAGGCAGCCCCTCACCTGGGGGAAGCAGCTCTGGTCATCGAGGATCCGGAGAATGCCATAGGGCTTCTGGGAGATGAGGTCGATGCAGGGCTGGTTGTCGCTGAAGGGGATCTCCTTCCACTCAATCTGCTCCCGGAGGTACTCTTCCTGCGGGGCCGGCACTCAGTCAGCCCCGTGCCCCCATCCCTGTGGTGATGCTCGGCATGGGGGCAGAGCCCAGCAGCTTGCCGGCCCACCTGCTCCTCCTGAAAGACGATCTTGTTGAAGAAGAACTGCAGGTACTCGTTGGCGTAGTTGATGCACAGTTGCTCAAAGCTGTTGAAGTTGAGGTCCTGCGAGAAGAAGGGGCCACGGCGCCTGAGACCCTGCAGCCCCAGGGCTGGCGGCCGGGGGATGAAGCCAGGATGCATCTTGCTCACCTCGAAGCCATAGATGTCCAGGATGGCGATGGAGAGGGCCTCCTGCCGTGGGTACACCAGCTTGTTGATGCGGTCTGTGAGCCAGCCAAAGAGCAGGGAGTAGAGGGTCTTGGCAATGGCGTCCCTGGGGAGGGGGCAGACGAGCAGAGCACTGGAACTCTGGCACAGCACGGCACGGTACACGTCCTCACCACCGTGGCCAGCACCAATCACAGCCCCATGTCATGTACGGGGCAACCTCTGGGGCTGCAGTTTTAGTCACTGGAAAGCCTGATCTGCACTGAAGGACCTGCCCGTCCTCTTTCCCAGCCTGGCATCTCACCTCCAGCCCTGTCCCCAGGGGCCAGACACCCCCCACACCCCCGTGCAGCACAGCCCCCCTTCCCTCTACCTGGCATCCACGGCGCTTTCGACAGTCAGGGGGGTAAAAATCTTCTCCCGCAGCGTTTCCTGGTTGGGGCACACAAAACCAACAGCGTGATGGAGTTTTAGCAACACCAGCCGTGGTCCCCAGGGCCCTCCCCCCCTGCACTCACCGTCACCTTGAAGGTAATGGCTTTCTGCAAGCCCTCGGGGGAGACCTGCAGCAGTTCAGCCACCGTCCGGATCTCCGTGGCGCTCACCACCGTGGCGACCTCCTGGCAGTCAGTCTGCGGGACACGGTGAGGCGGTGGGATGCGGTGACCCCCGCCTCTGCCACATCCCGAATTGAGCCCAAGGAATGCAGCTTGGCTCTGCTTTGGGTACCTCGTATTTTTCGAAGTAGACGTTGCCCAGGTGAAGGACAGAGGAGAGGATGCGGAAGACGCTGTTCTGCTCCTCCACGCTGAAGCCCAGAACCTCCACGGTGTTGAGCAGCCGACGGAAATCCTCTGCGTCGTCCTTGCCGGGGATCTCGCAGTTCCCACCCTGGCACGGACCCCTTGGTGCCGTCAGCGGCTCCCAGGGGGCAGCACCCAGGGGTGGAGAGGGGGGACACCCTGCCCTGAGCACCCTCCCCATCCGCAACACTGAATCCAGGAGGACTCAGGAACCCACTGGCACCCTGCGCTTGGCCAGCCCCCTGAAAAGCGGGCAGCGTGGCAGGGTCGGGGCAGGAGGCACGCTACCTGATTCAGGTAGTAGTAGGTCTCAGCGCCCTGCAGGCAGTATCGCTGCCGCTGCTGGGCGGGCAGCCCTGCCAGCATCTCGTAGAAGATGTGGTAGTTGCGCTCGCTCTTGGCCTGGGGAGCAGAGGACCGAGCTGGAGCAGGGGCAGCAGGGGGGACAGAGCCCGGGACCCCCTCGCCACCCACCTGGAAGACCACGCGGGACTTCTCCAGCAGGTACTGCGAGGTTATGGCACCACAGATGAAGCCACTGCAGGGGTGAGAGCAGGCACCTGGCTGGCAACCTGGGCACGGCAGGGGCTGTGCCCCCTGCCATGGTGCCCACCCGTGCCCCGATGCTCCCCCAGCACACGGCAGGTCAGTACCAGTCCTCAAGTGCCCCCCACCAGGGGTGGGCGGGCAGGGAGAGGTGCCCACACCTGGCTTCCGAGCGAGGGCTGGAGCTGCTGCACCCCAGGGTGAAATTGGGCACCCCCCTGTTGGGATCAGTGGGGCTGAGCGAGGGTGGGATGGGCTGTGGGGACAGGGATGGGGACCGAGAGCGCTCAAGGTGCCAACCCAAGGCACAGCATCCCTGCCCCTACCCTGGGGACAGCAAACGCTGCCTGTCTTCAGGCAACATCGCCTTTCCCCTGCCAAGGTTTGTCCCCAAAAGTGTGCATCCCACTGCAGAGCCGAGGGGCAGGGGCAGCCCTGCAGCAGGGCTGGGGCCGGGTTGGGCACCCCCGGGGCAGGGGGACACACACAGAGGGTGGGGGCTGGCCACATGCGGATGCATTACTTACTCCTCCAGAAAGATTTCCACAAATTTCCCAAACCTGCTGGAATTGTCATTCCTCACGGTTTTGGCATTGCCAAAGGATTCCAGCAAGGGAGTCGCCTCCAGGATCTGCCGTGGCGATGGGGAGAGCCACAGGGTCAGCCCAGCCACCCTGACATGCCACGGCCATGGGCTGTCCACCTATGGGACCCCCCCTTTGTCACCCTGCCACCCTCCCTGCCACCTCCTGCTCCATGTAAGACACCCATGGGTGCCAAAATTGGAAGTGTGCACCTCAGCCAGGCTGCATGAGGATGCAGAAGAGCACAAGGACCCCATGCACATGCATACACCGAGCTCCGACTTTCCATCCCCACTGTCCCCCCACAGCTGGAGTGATGTGGCAGAGATGCCACCATGATGCTCAGTCCCCTTGAACCGTCCCAGCCCACGTGTCCCCCGGTACCTCTATCTGCCATGGTCCCGGTGGAAGCATGGGGACAAGGAGAGAGTGGTGGAGCCGTGAGCAGGGGGTGGAAGAGAGCACGGGGAGGTGGGACAAGGGGACGGGGATGTCCCCAGGGCAGCACCCTACCTGCGGGGCAGTGCTGCGTTTCTGGCTGACGGCTGCCAGGTAGCGCAGGATCAGCTTGGTGGCTTCGGTCTTCCCTGAGCCACTCTCCCCACTGAAATGCAGAAAGGGGGCACAGCCGGGGCTGTCACCAGCTGAGCAGGGGGCCAGGGAGTGCACGCATCCCAAATGCACCCAGCACGCCATCCCCAGAGGTACTCATCGGCCCTGGGGCCAGGCCAGGCTGGCGGCAGCATCCTGGCAACCAGCAATGAGGGACCATCCCCGGGGGGGTCATGCCAGGGGACATCCATGTCGCACCTGATAACGATACACTGGTTGTGTTTGGCATCCATCACTTTGGAGTAGGCGACGTTCGCAATGGCAAAGAGGTGCCTGGGGAAGGGGGGGAAGCAGAGGTGGGGGGTGCAGTGCAGTGTCACCCCCGCACAGGGACCCCTGCTGCGCCCTGAGCATCCCCATGCATGGACACAGCTCCTCCAGCACCCTGTGGCTGAGGGTCCTTGGGGGCCTGGGACCACCCAGGGGCTGCTGTAGGACCTAGGGGTCACTGACGGCAGGTAGGGGTGCCCCTGTCCCTGCAGGGCATTTGGGGACACCCAGGTACTCACGGTGGGTTCTCGCCCAGCGCTCTGCCTTCATATTGCATCACCTGCTCCGTCCCGTAGATGTTGTAGAGCCGGTACGGGTTCACCGACACCAGGATGCTGCCGATGTAAGTCTGTGGGAGAGTGAGGTTTGGGGTTGTGAGCTCTTGGAGAGCGATGACCCCCCCAGAGACCCCAGGGTCTCTGGGGGATGCTGTGCACCCCTAAGCTTACATAGATAAGCTGGCGCTCAAACCGCGTCCGGATGTTGCTCAGCACTGCAGCTTCTTGGAGGTCCCTGCAGCAGAGCAGAGACTGCGTTAGGGGGTGGCGGGGGGGACAGGAGGTGTCTGCCCATCCCTGAGCATGTCCCCAGCATCCCCAGTCCTGGGAGGCTGGAGCAGACCCTGCGTCAGGACAGGATGGGATGGGGAGCAGCAGGAGCCATGGGGTGCAGGGGTGGGTGTTGCAACCCCATTGGCAGCACTGGGTCGTGGTGGATGGCGAAGGGGATGGGGACACTCACTCCAGCTGGGTCATGTCCTCCAGCCCGTCCTCCTCCTGCGGCTCCTGGTACCGTACGATGGGCAGGCTGCACAGGGACTGCATCTGCATGGAGCAACCCACCCCGGCTCCATCACGGCAGGGCCCCGCCGGCTCCCTCCGGTGTCCCACCCACTCACCGCCACTGCCCCAAAATCACCATCTGTGACCCCAGACCGGGGGGCCCGCAGCCAGAAATGGCAGGTACCCCACAGCCCTGAAATGGGTCCCCTGACAAGAGTGTCACATGTCAGGGGAGAGCAGCAGTGCTGGAAATGAGGATACGGGGCCACCAAGGTGTCCTTGGGGACTGTCCCAGGAAAAGCTGTTCCTGGCGAGCCCCAGTCTGGCTTGCCATGGGCAGGCAGGGGCAGGCAGGGACAGCTTAAGGTCAAGTATTGGCTGGATATCAATACTACTCAGTTTCTACATTTCATTTACCTAGAGCATTAGTCCAAGTGGCAGTGAAATACTGAGGCACCGCAGGTGCCCAAATCTCGCTTGGAAGATACCATCTTCTCTGTGGCAGGGGGGGGGGGGGGGGGGCCCCCCCCCCCCAGCCATGCCTCACAACCACCCACAGAGGTGATGCGGGGCAGGTGGCAAGAAGGAGCCCATGCTGGCGGCCAGCCAGGCGGCAGGCAGGAAAGTGGACACCTGCCGGGTCAGCGTGCCGCCCATGCCTGTCCCAGCCGGAGATCAGGTCTCAGCATTTCCATACGTGAGAGTCAAGTATCCCCAAAGGGGCCGTGCACAGGGGGGAACACACAGCAGGTGATGACAGCCCCCCTCCATCCTGCTCCCCTTGGCAGGACCCCCTCCAGCACCCAGTGCACCCATAGCCACCTACCCCCCGCCCTGGGCTCTGCAAACCCCCCAGCACTGGTGGCTTCATGCCCCAGTGAGCTGGCAGCCATCTCAACACGCCACCCCGTCCCAGGTCCCTCTGGCTGCCAGCTCGCCCCCCGGCTCCGTCCCACCACCAGCACCCATGGTGGGCTCCCTGCCGGTGTTACCTTGCTGCGCCAGGGCTGCTTGGTGCCCAGGTACCCGTCTGCCCAGGGGTGCCTGTCCCGCCAGCCACCCGCCAGCGAGCGCTGGCTCAGGTACCGGGCGATGTCGGCTCCCCACTGGCTCGCCCACCGCCGACCACGTTGGGTGGGCTGCCGGGGGGCACCCTGCTCGGCCGTCCAGGCGTCAGGCATCTCCCGCACCCGCACGACGTGCTGCGTGGACCAGTGCTGCTTGTACATGCGGGACGCCCGCCGGAAGGAGCCCAACCTCTGCACCTGCGGCGTCACCACCGCGTAGCGCCCCGCACCCTCCTCCCCGGCTGCCCCATCGCCCTCAAAGGCCTCCACCATCCCCGGAGCACGAGTGCCACGGCGGGGGGCCCGCCCTCAAAGGCCCCCCCCACCCCGGGAGCAGGGGTGCCGGGGGGGGGGGCGGCCGGCAAGCCAGGGGCTTGGCCACAGGGTGCCGGGAAAGCGGCACGACGCTGCGGTGAGGGGCTCCGGTCACCACGAGGAGAGGAGGGGAGGACGGGGTGCCCAGTGTCAGCCCAGCCCCGGTGCCCCGCCGGTGGGCTCGGTGATCTGCGGGTGCTCCCGTCCCGCCGGGATGGGCGCCGGGGCAAGGAGGGTGAGCAGGAGGAGGGACGACAGGCAGGCGGTGGGGATGAAGGGGCTTCGGCGGGCGTCATGCTCCCCACAAGCAGCGACGCCAGGGACTGCCCCACAGAGCGCCCTGAGGAGGGGCTGCGGCCCCTTGCTTCGGCTGGAGACAGCCTCGCTGGTGGGGAGCGGGGGGCCATTCCAGCAAGGGGCTGCCCAATGCGCTGGATGAAGGTTTTGGGGGTACCAGGAGCAGGGTTGGGTGGGGGGGGCACCCCAGCAAGACCCTGTGTGGTACCCTGCCACGGGGGCAGCTCCTCGTCCCAGGAGGGCCTGGGGCGGCCAAGTGCGCGGCTGG